GCCTACTACAGTACACAGAACTGCATAGTGATTACAGAATTGATCAATAGTGTGAACTCATTTGCAACAGAGAACGAACAAGAATATAGTGTGAATACATTCTATTGGCATCCACCACTAAATAATTCTGATAGTTGTAGCGTATTGCTGTTTTTGCAGTGAAATGTAGGCAGAAAATTACTACGATTTAGATTCTTAGGTGATCAATTCTCCGGTTAATAAGTATAATTATTTCAGGATTACATGAGTCTGCATTTGACAAGTAAACGGTACCCTGGTTAAATTACTTGGCTATCTAATTTTTCTATCCATGAAGAAGCATCATATTCCCTCCATTTCAAGCTGTTTTAATCATTTGTTTACGTCTGTGAACTGCACTCTATACCCATGCTAATTTCCGAATAGGTTCTAACCTGCTGTTATGATTTTTATGTTGGAAGCTGAGGAATAACATTGTAGAGGAAAGGAAAATATTTTGGATGGAACAATAATGTTTTAGATGATATATTATCGGTTATTACATTACTCTAAGGTTCTCAATCAGAAATAAATACCTTACAATAAAACACGCTGAAAATTGTGTACTGTGCACTTTTCAGAGTAAAGCTATTATTATTATTATTAAAAGCTGCATTATTTCACTATCTTAGATTAGTTCCATTATGATGGACTTATGCCTCACAGTCGGCCAAGCATTTACTACAGTATTCAGCCTTGACCATGATTTACAAATGTTACTTGACTCAGTTCTCTACTTCAAATCTCAGTTTTAGAAACTACCGTCCTGATGTGCTGAAAACAGTGAGAAAAACATATTTCTGAAACTATAAAACTGACAAATATTGCTATCCTACTTTCAGAACTCGAAATAGTGTGATTATGGAGACAATATCTTGACATCCTCTATGATGAACTGCAAAAATATATGGAGGTATGTGCATGTTAATTATCAGAGTCATCTCACATGCAGCGAAAAACTAGAAATATTAACTTCCACCTAAACAAAAGGCAACAACTTGGTTGAGACACTTTAATATTTACAATCTTACAATTCAAAATACAATAAACGCTTTCATACGGGCGTGAAGAACATTTAGTTATTGTTGGGTTTTTTCGATTTCAGGATATGTCTTTGCACTAAGTAGCCTACTTCTCTCAAAACAGTGATTATAGGATGCGTTGCCATATTGAATTCTTCATCTATTTCATCCATTTGTTAAACTATTTTATAGTTCATTGCTACTATTTGGCCATAATAAATTAAAATTTATTAAAGTACTTTCATAATAATGAGTTGTTTACAAAGTACTACATAGTATGGAACAGTTTTTGGAATAATTATTTTTTTAATATTCCACAACAGTCATTGGTAGAAAATTTTCTAAGAGTACCATTTATATTTTTAACCTTTAAATCATACAAGTCAATTAACTGCAGCAAAAATGAAATTTCTTTCACTTAGGATTCAACACATCTGTGTTATAAATTATTTTGTAGTTTAGCTCTAATGAACATGTTTAGATCAGACAACAACTGACGACAGGTTCCTGGAAATGTAATAACTTTGAGATATGTGAGAGATTCATAGTTGGGATAGGACTTTTCTATCAGAAAGGATGTAACTTTAGCAGTTTCGTACAACAATGCTTATTCACTTCCTCGGTGAAGCTGAATTTCAAATATTACAACATCATCTAAAGTTTCTAGTGAACACTAATGTAAAAGGAAATTTTAATGAAAATATCTTCACATTTAAATAAAATAATTATTAAGTTTTAACCTGAAAACTATGAATTTCAGTATACATAACATTTTTGATTCTATTTGTTGCTAGACATATAAAGACAAATTTTGTTGAAAAGAATATGCTGTCATCTAAATTCTAAAATTTAACTTGTAATGGTTCAGTGCATTAACTCGAGATGCTACACAAAAAGCCGTTTTTCTGGACTTTTCTGACTGACCACACAGAGTTGCTCAATGTAGTTTTCCCAATAAGTGTAATCACGGAAGGAATGTGTTGTCCTTCTTTGTGAAATAAAGTTTTCCTTTCAGTGGTTACTCTTCTTAAACGATGATGGTTTATTGTCGACTAATTGTATCAGTGATTACGATTAATTATTAATAAATGTTCTAATTGACAGTCAGTAGAAATACTGAATTGCGATAATATACGTGTAGATATTCTAATTATAGGAAAATTTGTTAAAACTAATTGACAGTTTGTCATGAAATTTAGGAGGTCAAACAGTAATAATGAATTTTCTATTACGTACTATAAGACACCTCAATAACAAATGACCGGTAATGTGTTGTGATCTTTGTTAAGACATAAGGACTGGTAACAGAGCAGTATGCAAATACATTTATGATAAATTTCAAGTAATGCAGAAAACGACGAATCTAATTATTGTGCTAAGTTATCAGTAATTTATCATATATAGGTAAATAACTTTGTTAGAGTGTATTATCAGTTAGACGGAAATTAGCAGTTATCTGGGTAAATAAAAAGATTTTATTAAACGCTGCTGTATTAATGAAGTTAACTTAAACTGCACACTGTCTCACAAATTATGTATAGATATACTCCATCTTTTCTTAAGACCGTTAAATTTTAAATTCATTCCACAAAGTGTTAGCACTAACAGCCATAAGTGAAGCAGAGTAGTATTTTCCGAAGTATTAGAAACTCTTTGGGTACAAAACATACCTATTAGAATGGACTTCAACGAAGCAAATGTTAGACTGGCTGTCCTACATGATTTTAAGAATCAACCACATATTACTTGAAAATCAGATAAACACGCTTGTCATACGCGACAATATTACTCCCTTATTAATAGGCGATAAGCGGACAGTTATATGAAGTACACAAGACTGCACTCGGTTAAATGGAAGATTAACTGTTTTCAGTCAGAAAATTACTAGAGCATAGCGAATTTATCGAGTTATACAAATTTGAATAAGATAATCATATATATATATATATACATATATATATAAGTTCATAATTTCAAGGCGAAAGTTGAGTCTGGTTGACGTCTTAATTGCAGTTAACTGCCTTGGGTAACTGGATCATTGAAAACGTAACTTCTTGTAAAAACACACACGGTCCTGATAACAGCGATTAGCATTTCAGCCACATAAGAAGATCGTAATTAACAAGTATTTCTGAATCATGCCAATGTCTATCAACGAAAATTGTCTAACCAACTGTCAGTCAATTGTTCGAAGTGAGATGAAACCTGACAGCATCGTAACAAACTGACCATGTACAATGAAAACATTAGAGAGTACTGTAAGTAAAAGATGGTTGCAGGACGTATTAGAAATACATTATGGCTTAATCAGGCGTCGCGTTATATGCAGACGAATACTTGAACACAGTGAATCACAAATTGCACAAGATCAATTCAGGACTAAGTGGAAATGAATTTTTCTTTCAGCCTAACCAATCTGTATACCTAAGCGACAACTAGCATCAAAATGATTGGTAGTTAAAATTTATTGAATGCCAGTTGTTGCGATAGAGTTCAAATATTCACATAATATAACATTTTTGTTAACTAGACGCTAAATCCTTGTATTATTTAATTACTTACTAGTGTATTCAATGGATTTTATTACATCAATACAAACTCAATGGAGAACACTCGTCAACTTGATATCACATTAGGCTACAAAGAGCATCTGATTAAAGTTTTCTAGGCAATGCTGAATAGGAAGCTATGGATAGATTTACACCAATGTACAAAGTTTTGAATTACCACCCTGGAATCTATCGGAAAACATATTTGAAGAGTGTGAAGAGTACATGATAATTCAGGATGCAAATGGAAGTGAGTTGTAAACACAAATTTTGAACAGTTAACCAATCATTCCCCGAATCATTGTGCAGTGATCAATTTTACTGTGCTCATTGATTTATCAGTTCAAAACCATAACCATGATTATCTAGTTAATCATTTTTCCAACACGTTGAAGGCAGTGTAATAGAAAAAGCTTAAGGAATTAAAATCATTGCGCAGAATCCATATTGTTTTTGTTAAATATCCTGGTTACTTGTTAACTACATGAATATTAGTCAAACCTTTCTGTTAGATAGCACAAACGAAAGATAATTAGGTGGAATTTTCACCACAGCAGATTAAGCAACTTGGTTACAATCTGAGTATTTTGTATTGACTACTGTCCAATAGGGAATTTCATACACTTTCCATAGATCTAACCTATTACTTGCTGAGAATGTGGCACTGGCCACTGCATAGACAGTTGTTCGAAGGCATCCCGACAGTTTGTTTTAAAATCAAATGTATATTTCTATAATAATCGCTTTTCCGATAGACGCTAATTGAAAGAGGCCAGCTTTACATGACATGAATACTAATACGAACAGACTAAGCACATGCACCTGCATAGTAAATTAGCAAATCTTATACAGACGAAAAACACTTCGCGTTCGCTGAGTTACTGCTGAATGAGAAATGAAGACGCTAAGCTTGTTTTCCTTCAAATGAATAATTATTTGTATCAAAGAAACTGTCTTCGAATACATGACACTACTAAGGCAAGAGGTGTAAGTATCTAAATACAATAAAATGTAAATTACGTAAATTGTCTGTTCACTACTCATAGTCGTTAATCTATAATTGAGAATTAGTTGGTTGGTAAATACATTAGTCCCACTACATCACGATATAATTGGGAAAATTCTTCGCCAAGAAATTAGTCTCAAGCTATTACGACCAAAGAGATATTTCTATTTGCATATCTGATATGCTGACGACAAGATTATCGAAACTTAGACCCGAAACCAAATCACATTGTTTACATCAAGACACTATTTGGATGGTCATAGAGGGAATAAGGTCAAAATGCACTTAATATTGATTTTAAGAGAGGCGTTAAGCTGTTTTTGGTCACTTTATATAGTTGCGCATTTAAACAAAAAAATTCAATAATAATTGCTGGTTTTCTATAAGAAAAAGAAATTGACTCACAGAATCTGCCATACTTTGAACAAGATGTCATAATTCCACTTCTATGTGACTCACCACACTTCGCTCATTTCTCTTGTGTACTGCGTAGCTAGCTGCTGAAACAATTTGTTTGTTTATTCGATTGTTTGTCTGTTCAAACTCTAAATTTAATTGTTCTATGTCATGCTTTATATTTTTAACCAATGGATATTTTGTTTGTAGGTCATTAGTGTGAGTGACAGACACTAATGCACTTTAAATGGATGTTTAGAGTACGAAATCAGTCAACCTTGGATAAGTTATTCTATGAGACTGAAATACAATCACATGCTATTTGGCGAAAAGATTGCATACTGAGATTTACATACCAGTTACGTAATTCTGTATCAGTTTTCTAAAAGATAGAAGTATAAAACTTGGGCAGTGTGGTAGAGTATAACTTCATTATGGATATGATTTTATTTTGATACATCACACAGTGTTGTATAGTAATATTAATATAGTAACATAATATAGTAATATTAACTGATGACGTTTCAAGCACAAACTATTGCTCATAATCTTATCAAGTTGTGTGATTGACTTGATATGATTATGAGCAATAGTTTGTGCTCGAAACGTCATCAGTTAACATTACTGTACAACACTGTGATTTATCAAAATGAAATCTTATCCATAATGGAGTTTTCTAAAAGCTTCCCTATGTTGAGAGCACATCTGATTGTATGTCGGTGGCACAGTGGTTAGGACTCTCGCTGACCATGCACATGGTCAGAGGTTCGACCCACTGCCGACGCACACCCGATATCTATGGTTGGCCTGCAAAATTTGGGCTGCCGATATCCATGCTGAAAATTCCATACTTGTACTGAAAATATGGGTGTGGAATCAAGCTGCAATCAAAATAAAATATTAAAAAATTTGCACTGTTAGCTATTGTTAATAAAAACTTGGGAGGAATTTGTTAAATGAAAACAAGTTACTTGCTGAAATCCTTGTCACCCACTTAATCCTGTAAATAATTTTCCAACTAATATTTCAAAACTTCACAAGTGTAGAGGCCTTTGTAATTAATAAATGTTAGCAGGAAAGTATAAAAAAGAGATTTGTAACAACCCTTACATTGATATGCACTTGGCATTATTCTATCCTTACTCTCTTAATACGGATGATATTATTTAATTATCTCATTTTCGAAAAGTGAAGCCTAGTCTAAAGGCGTGACTCATTGGTAGGTACTGAACAGCCTAAAACATGAGGCAAAGCTCCACATAAGAATACTCATACATCCCTAAAATAAATATGAGGTAATCAACAATATGTGCGAAAACTTTTGCCTTAGTGCTTCATTTAATGAGATGGTATAAAATTACACCATTCGTTGGAATGAAGCACAACTTGATTTAACATTTCTTTGTGTTTTTAGTTCGAAATGGATCAATATTATGGAGAGGAGGGAGATCAGAAGTTTGGATTCCTCAGAAGTATTTATATTGTTCATTTACAATAAACAGAAACAAAGAAAAATTTAAAAGGGACAGTAATGGAAGCAGTCAATCACCTTATTCCCCATATGTCAAGTGGTTTACGGCATGTTCATCAGTTACTAATTGTTTTTTTTTCGATTCCCTTGTATCTCTTAACTGATTCCCTACTATTATTTTCAACGAAGTCATTCGTGTTTCTAAATTCTCAACAAAATTAAGATTAGTAATGGAATAATTAAAGTTGTAATTGAAACGACCTACTTTATTAGTTTTCACCTGATCCATGTATCTGGTGTTAACAGAATGAGCTTCGAGGTCCAGTTGAAGGAGCGTTAAATATAAGATAGTCCACCAATTACGAGACTTTTCACAAACCGTCTAAACTTTACCATTTGAAGTTTTGCAGCTTGTCCATTTCGTTAAACAACTACGACCTGATAAGCATTTGTGCTGTAACTTTCAAGATAGTTTAATGTCTTATTTAGTTTATCACATTCACTTTTTATATATCAAACAGACTTAGTTAGCCATGCAACAGGTCGTTCTGATATATTTTTATTTTTCTGTTTTTAATCCACGTTTACTATCCACTGAATAAATGTTCTCATTGAGGTATTCACTAGTTAAAGTATGTATTTGTTCGCGTCATGGATTTATTTCTATAATCGTAGGTTTTGGACATTCTTACAGTGCCCAGCTGTCAGTTTCTGATTCCATTTTTGAATGGATGAATGTACGCAATCAACAACGGTTGCTAGATCTTGTATAAATTTTCATTTCTGTCTTGTTGCTTCAGGAAAACATTTCTTTGCCTCTGACAAATCAAATTTAACTTCCGACAATTATTCAACAAGCTTATCATGTTTACCAGTAAGAACACGAATAATATGTTGTATTTTATGAAGCTGTAATTCAAAATGATTCAGTAGGGAAACTAGGTTCTTGTGTTTTTCATACCGTGAATAGCGTAAAACTAATTATCTGAACTAGGAATCATTGAATGAATCAGTGGGAAGCAATATTTGTGTGTCAGCAGCGGTAGAATGTAACTCCACATAACATTTATTTACTAAATACTACATTTAGAAGTATGATGTCACTTCCTGGATAACATTTTGAAAACCATCTATTACACATTTGTTCATTATGCGTTGTTTGCTTGATGTAAAATATTCATTGGAATCTGGTGTAATCTTTGAATTGTCTACCTGCTTCTCGAGTTTGTCTACCATTACTTGTGCTACATACCGTCTTAAATCTCTCAGATTCAGTTTGTAGTTTGCTTGAAAGATAAAAGTGTTGTTGCTCATTTTCTACCCTAGTCATCTAGGTGAATACGAGTCGCACGATTTGCATTAAATCTTAGACAGATGTGCCCTAGTGAACTATAATTTGTTTGTAGGAAAAATCACTCAGTAGTTTCACATTTTTGTCTGCCTAATAAACCTTCGCCACATAAGATATAGCTCAAACAGAAGACAATCAAAAGTAGTGAAGCATGAAGACGAAGAACTTAAGCAACTGGAATGAAATGAAATATAAATAGAATTTGGAGACTGTTGTAGAGTATAATTCCACAATAGAATGTTTCTATTTGATAACATAACTTAACCAGTTTGATATGATTATGAGTACCATTTCATGGTCAAAATACCATTGGTAAGTAACACTGTATCACTGTGCATTTTTATCGAATAAAATTATTATTATATTATGGAATCTTCAAGCGTTTTTGGTTTCAAGTGATACAACTGCGAAAGTGACTCAGGCTAGTAAGTTTATTTTAATATCATTGTTGTTTAATACATCTCTTGCAAGATAATGTCTTAAACTGATCATGCAACCATACAGCGTTCCGGTAGTGTTTTGTATAACTTAAAATTCTCTCAACGTTTGTTAAAATAATCTTACAGAAAATAAATGTTTTTCACCATAATAAAGGTTTTTGTATTTCTCAATGAATGAAAAACAAAACGATATTGTTTTTACTGACGTTTCGCTATTTAATGCTAATAGCTTTATCAAAGTATTATTAAACCGGAATTTACAAAATCTCAGCATATATATAACAAAGAGTTAAGGAACTCATTGTTATATCATATCATATACCCAATGCCCAAACTGTTAAAAGCGAACTTGGTTTGGACATATAAAAATGTTTTTCCATTAATAATTAATTCGATTTTTCAAATGAACCTGAGAAAGGTAAATCACAGTAACTACATGAAACTACTTTGTTAACTAATCGAACAATAGTGAATTACTCAAAGGAATAGTTTCATTCGCATGTGGGTGCACGATTCTGTACAAATAATGGTTGTTTCATGTAATTCATGCAACTGACACATATATGCAAAAGTATAGTGAAACAATATCACTAAATGACCATTTGTGTAATATTGGTCGTTGATGTATTTTAACTCAGTACACCAATAGCATATGAACTCATCCCTACAGTTTGGAATGTTGCTTTAGGAGACTGATGTTCGATAAATCAGTCTAGGTCAGTTGTTTGTTTTGCTGTCAAATAGCTCATTATAAAAGAATAAACGGATGCACTTTGAGGAGAATAAGTTTCCATCATAAACGCATCTTTCCAGCATGTTGCAAAGTTTGAAAGATTCATTAAAGTAGCTCAGAATGATTAATAATTGGAGTGAAGTCTTGCGTATTTGGACAGTTTGGTAGTATGTCAGGTAACATAGACCTAAAAACATTTCATTTCTGTAATCATAATATACTTTGTAGTTTAGAATTGACGGAGGACATTTGTAGTTCGGGTGCGAGATGTTTTCATGGAAGACAATAAAGGCTTCTGAATTAAATCATGAAGTTTAGGAAGCATAACTACACCAATACAATATATAGTTGTCACCTGTGGTCTCATCAAATATATTCCTGGAAGTTATCATTCTTTTAAGCCTGAATATCTGATGACTTTTGTGAACTTATTTGTTCTACTTTTTTAAAAATTCTTTAAGTTCCCAGTGGAATATAGGGCTTCAAGCTAAAGGCGTGATGTTTCGGTAGCAGTGGTGTTTATTTTTACTGGATGGGGTTGCTAGCCTCATGCTCAACCTCCCCTCTTCACCAGTCTTACCACTTGCTTAGCGAAATAAAGGAGTACATTGGCCAGGGATCGAACCCCGAACCACATGATTGGTTGGCGAACATTCTACCGTTGTGTCACCGACGCACATTTGTTCTACGTTATTAATGATATTTTGATAGCAGTGCACCTTACCTCAGTATACGATATAGAAGTCCAGTAGATAAATATAAATAAATATAAATATAATATATAAAGTCCAGTAGATAACTAGCTAGGCAGTTTGGTGAAACACACACCATGTAAACGATTATTTGTTAATTTGCCTTTATCCTCAAATGCCACATTTTTGATGAGAAGAAGTGAAAGACTGCTCGAAATTTCTTTTGTAGCTTCCAAAAGTAATGGATATAAAACTTATCAGTAGTCTTTTAGTGAACTATTTAACTACATGTGGGTGTTGATAAAGCTTTCCGTCAATCCAAACCTTAAGCACA